ATGTGTTTATTTATTTATTTTTAATCAATATAACATTTTAAAATAATAAAATCAAACATGATAGAGTACACCAATGTTCATGTGTGTTTATGTGCCAGACAATGTACTTTGTGACACATTGAAATAAATTGTTTGAATTTCTTTGTATCTTGTTCCTTGCCTGTGAGGGAGCATAATCCTTATTACAAAAATGATAGAGCTTCAGATTGTAGTATGTTGTTATTATTCTCTCAGAAAATTTATGGGTTGTGGGAATTGGGTTCATTAGACTTTAGGGTCATGAGTGAAAAAAAATATTTTAAAATATATGTTTATTTATTTATTTTTAATCAATATAACATATTAAAATAATAAAATTTTCATTTATGTCGGTTATAACCGCCAGAATACTCAAATAATAACCGCCAGAAAGTAAAATAATAAAATAATCAATTTCTGTCGGTTATAACCGCCACCATTAACTTAAAAACTACCAGAATCTTCAAAAATATTTAAAAAAAAAGATTAAAAAATACTGTCGGTTATTGATATCCTCTATTAAATATCTGCCAGGACTTTAAGTCGGATATAACCAACATGATTTTTCTAATATCTACCACTAATTAAATGATGTGTCGGATATATTTTATCCGGCAAGATTTTTCTAATATCTTCCACTATCATCCGCCACCTAAAGCTAATATTGTAGTAATGAAATAAGAGTATGCATAATAAACATACAAACCGAAGAATAAACGGACAACAACCGAATATAATTTTATAAACTGAAAAGAAAAATTGTCATGATAGTTACAAACTATATTATCATGAAAATTTTCCAAAATCACATTCTCTGTCTCCCAAATTGCATATATTCAAACTAGAGACATCAAACTACATACAATCAAAATATAACATCTTTATCTACCCAATACTAGCCTAAAACCACGCTCAAAATCAACTTTGAAAATCTACAATCACAACAAAGTCTTATTCTATTAGGTGAGGTCGATTGTATGAGTCTCAAAACGTTATTGCTCTCATTTTAAGCAAGTTTTCTGTTAGCTCCAACTTAGAAAATCTGCCATCACAAATTTCCTTCCAGATACAGCATGCTCTGAAATTCACCATAAAAATATATATAACATATTTTTTTTGTATTATATTTTCAAATTTTCGTTTGGGTTATTATACAAAATAGTCCATGAGATTTGCATGATCAATAGAAATGGTCCCTGAGATTGAAAAGAGAAATGGTTCCTGAGATTGTCCACCATCCATGATTTTGATCATTCCGTTAAAAACTTGGTGCAATTTTCAAAGCTTTGTAACTCAATAGTTTCTTAAACAAATTCGACCCATAATATATCAAAATAAAGATAGGAAAGTGTAGAATAAGATTATACCTATTTGGAAGCCTAATGGTTTCCGGAGATGACCGGAAAATAGATTGAAAGGTGACTGGTCCGCGGGAAAACTGGAAAACTCGCCGGAAACTGGGTAAACAACGTTCATAACTTCTTCAATACTCAACAAAATCGAGTGATTCAAAAATTAAAATCATACTTCTTGACGAGAATAAGAGAATGGTACATTTTTAGAAGGCTAACTCGTTGTGGTTTGGTCGGAAAATGGCTCGAAAGTGGCTAACCATTTTCGAGCAGTTTTCCGTCCAAATCACGGCGAGTTAGCAATCAAGAAAGATTTCATTCTCTTTATATCATCGAGAAGTATGATTTTAGTTTTTGAATCACTCGATTTCGTTGAGTATGGAAGAAGTTATGAACGTTTAAAGTTTACTCAGTTTCTAGTGAGTGTCCAGTATTCCCCCGGACCAGTCACCTTTCAGGCTATTTTCCAGCCATCTACGGCAATCATTGGGCTTCCAAATAGTTATAATCTTGTTATACACCGAAAACATTGGGTCTGACAAATGGAGTTATAATTTTCATCTCAGGAACCATTTTCTTTGATCATTGCAAATCTCAAGGACTATTTTGTATAATAATTCTTAAATTAAAACGATAAAAATTGTTAATGATTATAATAAAATTTGTATGTTCCACATATATCTGCCAGATGATGATAATGATATAGCAGTTTGGTTGGTTGAACTTGAACCCTAGCTATTAATTTACTCATTTGGAAATTGGGTCACTATTTAAATGTGTATTTTTAAAATTAGTGCAAGCTTAATCCAATTTAACTCTATCATTGTATAATTCCATTTAGTAAATATGAGACTTGTTTAATTCCCTAACTATAATTTTACATTAAAAATTAGTTAATTCATTAAAATGTTGGTTAATTTAATTAAAACAAATGGTTGCCCAAAGTTAACAAGGCGGCTCCTCGGATGGGGGTGGTGGTGAAATAGCCTATGTCCAGTGGTAGTAGGCGAAAACTTGCGTAGACGTGGTCGAGGCGTTCGATTGAGCGTTTTTTTTTTTTAAATGGCCCGTATCTGGAATTTTGCAAATCTAAAAGTTTTAGTTGCATACGTTGCACTTTGAATTTGAAGAAGATGAATACCACGACATCGTTTGGAGTGCTTACTCTTGCTGAGGCCATCTCCAACCGAAGGGTCCAGAGGGCTAGATGGCCGAAAATAGCCCTAAAACCATCTCCAACAGAGGGCTAGGCCAGAGGGCTTGGGAATCTGGGAGGGCCCTATGGAATTTCAAAGGGCTAAAGGGCCAAAGGCTGGCTTTTATATAGTTTTCCTATTGTTGTCGGTTATAACCGACATCATTAAAGAAGGATTTTTTAATACTGTCAGTTATAACCAACAGTAATAGGTATTCATAGGCAATTTTTTTTATTTACTATTAGTGTCGGTTATTTGAAATTTTTTTGAATATAACGGCTAGCCAAGTCAGCTAGCCATTGGGTTTTTTTTTTTTTTTTTTTTTTTTAATTTGAACATTTCTTTTCTTCTATAAATATGGTGAAGTTCTTTCAATTCTTCACTTCATTTGCAATATTTCTTCTTCAATATTCCTTTCAATATTTTTTTCAATATTTTTTTCATATATTTTCTCATTTTTCCTTCAATATTATTTTTCAATATTTCTTCATCTATTATTTTGTTTAATTTTTTTCAATAATTTTTTCAATTTTTTAATAATTTCCTTCATTTTTTTCTTTTTAAAAATGCTCATCTGCATGAAAGGTAGGGCTTGGACCCGAAAAGAAGATGAAGCTCTTGCAAGGCTTATAGGGTCTCAGAAGATAGTGTGAAGGGGATTCTCAAACAAGTGAAGGGTTTGGACTCTATGTGTCCAAAAAATACTTAGAGTTTTTACGAAGACACATTTCCACCGAATACCGACCACGAAAGTTGTTTTCAAGTATGTTAGAAACTCTTCATTTCCAATTTGAATAAATGCATCAAGCACTATTAGCAGCCGCAATAGTAAAGCGGCATTTTTTATATTTTTATTTTGTTTTTTCAACAATTTTTTTTTTTTTGTGTTTTTTTTTTTTTTTTTTTTTTTTTTATTTTTTTTATTTTTTTTTTTTGTTTTTTTTTTTTTTGTTTTTTTTTTATTTTAATTATTATTACATTTTTTTATATTTTTTTGTTTAATTATATTTCATTATATTTATTCTTTAATTCATTTGATTAATTTCCTAAATTTTTTTTGTAATTATATTTCTAGTACGCCAAGCGGGGAATTGTATATGGAGGCAGCTCAAAACCCTTTCTTTTTTCACGATTGTTGGGAAATTTTGTAAGGGGGTGTTATTTTGAGATCCACCTCACATAGAGTGGATCCTTTGGGAGTTTGCATCCCTATCTATAAATATGAATGAAGATGGATCTCCTACCATTCAACAAACAAGGGTAGAAATCCGACTCTGTCCGAAAGTTTCTTTTACTAGGGCTATGAGACGAAACAAGGCCCGAAGGTTGAGGGAAAAGGGCAAGGCAAATGCTGATTACGCCGCTCAACATGAAGTGGCGGCTTCATTGTGATTATTGGCGGAGCAAAATTGCCCTTGAGGAGGAAGAAAGGAAGTGTAGACATGAAGAATGGGCCAAGCAAATACAAAAAGAGATGGATGATAAGATTTATTGGAAGGAACACTTTGAATTACACTCCAATGGTAAGGCCTAGTTGATAGGAAAAAAAAAAGAAATATTTATTAGCCGACGGCAATTTGTTTGACACTATACTCCTTACGATGGCTGATGATGATGATTTTGATAATATTGTTATGGTAGTATTAAATTTTAAATTTTTAAATTTTGTTAGTTTTTTAGTTTTTAAATTTAGTTTTTTAGTTTAATTTTAGTTTTGTAGTTGTAGGTTTTTTTAATTTTAATTTAAATAAATGTTTTAGCCCCTTGGCCCTCGGTTGGAAAATTTTTTTTTGGTGACAGGGCTAAAACGCCTCTGGCCCTCAGTTGGTTAGGAACAAATATGGCCATGTACTGTTTCATTAAAAATAATATCTTGGAGAATCTTGATTGGGCCAGAGGGCTAAAACGAGCCCTCTGGCCAGCCCTTGGTTGGAGATGGCCTGATTTTTCTTCTTTTTATTCTCTTTAAACTGACCCATTGATAGGTGTTCCCCAACTGTCCGGCATAATCTCCAACAACCCAGTTCCCTAATTTCTTAATTTTTATTATATATTTTCTATTTTTTTTCAAGAGTTAAAAAAAAGACATTTATACAAAAATTAGAACTTTATATTATCTTTTCCTTGGAAAGTGATTGGCCAGCAAGAAAAAATAGGTATGTTTTAGTTTTTAGTTTTTCTAACTTTTCTAATATAAATTTTATAAATTTTCTTTTTCTTTTCTCTATTTTTCTGTCTAGTAAGGCTTCGCCTCACGTCTTAAGACTTTCATTCAGGCAGGACAATACACAAAACGCCTCGCTTACGCATTCGCCTTTTAAAACTTTGTGTGGTTGTGAGGCATAATTGTCTTGGTATGCTTAAAAATCATGTGGTTGTGAGGCATTCTTGATTGTAGTCCACAAAAGAAAATATTTTGCTGAGGACGATGGAGGCTAGGGTACTATAAATAGAAGAGCAAGAGGAAAGAGAAAGGGGCACTTAGTCAAATAAACAAAGTTCAAAGTCGAAGCACTCTTTGAGAGTGGAGCTATGCAGATTGACATCTCCTTGCCAGGTTCTATTCTATTTCCCTCTCCTCATTATCCATTAATTTCTAGTTTTAGGACTCTGGTGCTTTCAATTTGGAGGAATCAAGTTACTTGTTCAAATTACAATCTGTTTCCAAATATTTTTTCTTTTTGTTAGGTTGGATTGAGATGCATAAAACAACCACAACAGTAGTCTAATTGTTCTAGTGCTATTTATAACGCAAAAAATATTTGGGCTAACACGGTTGTCAGTTGATCAAAGAATATTTGGGCTAACACGGTTGTCAGTTGATCAAAGATGAGGAAGAACATTAAAATAATTTGCTTTTTAGTGTCTACATTAAAGGATGGGATAGTGGATATAAATATGTGTTTTGTTTCTTGTCATTGTTGTCACGCACCCATTTGTTTTATTTGTCTTCTCTTTTAGTTTTAAACGTGCATCTAAATTATTTTTCAGAAAAGATTTGTTTAAATAATTAAGGCTGGTTATAAAACTGCATTCGGTGAACAATATTTAGTGATAAATATGATGTGTGTAACAGTGCTCTAAAGTTTATAGTTTCATTTATGGGCATGAAAATTTATGTTCTTGTGCATCATGAAATACGAGAGTAAAGTCGAACTCTTGTAGTGTAAAGTGCCCATATGTGATTGTGAATACGGAAAATTCCTGAAACGAAAGAGACAAGAACAACGTGCACAAACAAATATTATGTGTTTGATGATTTTGGGTTACAATCTCTCTCTATTTTGGTCCTTTGATTCGATCTCCGTAAGGTGTGTATTTTGTGGATGTGTGATTGATCCAAAGGGCCGTTGGGCTTGATCTAAGGATGAACGTTCTTCAAGGGCCGTGGACTTGATCTTGAAGGTGGATTTGAGCGGATCTTCAAAGGGGCTTTTGGGCTTGATCTTTGAAGAACAGTGATGAACGGATCTCCAAGGGCTTTTGGGCTTGATCTTGAAGAACAGTGATGAACGGATCTTCAAGGGCTTTTGGGCTTGATCTTGAAGAACGGTTGGATGTGTGGATTTGTTGACGTTGTTGATCCAAAGGGCCGTTGGGGCTTGATCTTGGATGAACGGATGATGAACGATGGTGCTTTCTTCAAGGGCCGTCGGGGCTTGATCTTGGAAGAACGATGAACGAAGAACGAAGAAGGCTTTCTTGATTCTTCGGGAACCTAGATGCTTGAGAGCTTCGGAGTTTCAGAGCTTCAGAGCTTCAAGGTGTAATATGAATTGGTTTCCCCCAAATGAATGAATTAGCCTTCTATTTATAGAATTCTCCAATGCCTAATTTTGAATATAATATTCCAGATGAAATAAGTCGTTTCTGCCAGGTGTTGACACGTGTCCTGTTTGATGACTTCTCCAACTTATTTCAATTTTTGTTTAGACACACGCTACGTGTAAAATTTATGTAATACATGAGCGTTGAAACTTTGATTTATCGGTCAACATTTATTTACCGAAATTTCGATGTCTACAAATGCCCCCACTTCAAGGCGCGTCGTATACATGTGATTGTCACGTGTAGGAGATGCGTTTTGAAGTCCCTTACTGTAGATGTCGATCCAAGGGCCATCGAGGCTTGATCTTGAATTGGGCTGGAGATTGTTTCAAGGGCCGTTGAGGCTTGATCTTGAACTGGTCTTGAGATTTCTTCAAGGGCCGTCGAGGCTTGATCTTGAAGGTTGAAATTGGACCACAAGGAGTTTCATGTGGTAGATGATCCTTGGCTTTGGTAGTGGGTGAATCGGCACATATTTTGTTGCGCTTGTTGACTTTCCACAGCTTTGATCTTGAACTGGGTCGGAGGATTTTCTGGATTCCTCAATTTGTTGATTTTCACAGCTTATTCTTGAATTAAGGTTTTGATTCAAGGGTGGTAGACACTTAATCTTAAATCGGACTTGTGATTTCCTCTAGGGCCGTCGATTTTGCTGTGATTTTCTTGAATTTGGCTGGAACATTTTTTTCTTTCTTAAGGCCGTTGAGGCTTGATTCTTTTGAAGGTTGATTTCATTTAACACATGCAAGCAGTTTGCACTGGTAGTATTTGTTGTTTTTAACCTGTTCTTTTTAATCTTGTTTTCAAATCTTCTAATTTTTTTTTTACTTATTTCCTGACTTAGTTTGTTGGTCCAAGTATGATCATTCAAGATTCACCGTATGGTGTTACTCTCCTGTGTATCTTATCTTTTTTACGATTTTGAATTTCTAGGTTTTGTGGTATGTGCTTTGTTGTGCATTGTCTCCACATGCGTTTAATTGTTTTTTTTTTTTTTTTTTTTTTGTTCCTCAGGCAGATGTTCCAGATTTCTGTTAGTTCTTCATATCTCCGATTGTTTCCTTCCTGTAGCTTTATTCAATCCTCTGCTTGATGTCTTCAGATAGCTTCTTGATTGTTGACTGATTTCCACACTGTCAGACCGATATTTCTTTTATTGTTTCTTGTGTTCTCCACATGCTGGCAAGTTGTATCATTTTCACTTGCTTTTATCTTGCTCTTCAGGCAGATTGTGTGTCTTTCCTTGGAAGTCTCAGGCAGCTTTTCTGTCTCTGAGTTTAACTGTGCATGCTGCATTCTTCTTCTCTGCTTGTTCTTTTCTAGGCAAGTTGTGCAGTGAAGTTCTTCGAGTTTTCTTTTTCAGCTCGTCTTCTCTGAGTTTAAGTGTGTCAGACCTTTGCATTCTTCTCTCTGCTTATTCCTTCTGCACGTTTTTCCTCTTCTTATCATGTGCAAGGTATCATTTTTTCATCCTTACCATTCTTCAGGATGTACTGGAGCTTCTTTGAGTACAGCAGGAGTGGAGACGAGTACTTTGGAGAGCATTTCTTGCTAGGTCAATCTAGGGAATTGTTCTTTCGATTCCTTACCCAATTTGTCATTTGTTTTTTTCTTTATGCTTTAAGGTAAGAACAAGGACAAATGAAGGACAGGTGTTACGCATGATATGAGATTTTCTTTGTTTCTACCCTGGTGATATGAGATACTTTGCTTTGGATAGTCATTGGTTTTCTTGCATAGGTACCCCCGGAATAAGGAACACTGGAGTGACCCTGAGAGGGCTTCGTTGGGAAGTGCATTCTCAGAGATGAAGAAATGTTTCTATATTGTCCTTGCTATGAAGGGTGAAGTGGACAGTTATAGGAATTTCTTTAGTACCTGTAGAGGTACTATTTTTTACTCGTGTCGGCAACCAATGCGGAATTGATCAGTATGGTTCACGTGCTTTCTTTCTTTATCAGAAACTTTCGACAAATCGTCTTGTATATTTTCGTCAAGCTGAGTTTTTGCACTGATAGGTGCTGACGAGGCTGAAAAAGACTGGTTGGCCTCTTCGATTATCTGGGATCTTATTGGTGCTTCGACAAATTGCCGTCGTTTCGCAAACTGTGTTTGCGCGTGATGGTGCTGACGAGGCTGAAAAAGACTTGATGCCTCTTCGATATCTGGGGTCGACGCTTCGACAAATTGCCCGTGATTTCCGCAAACTGAGTGTCACGTGATAGGTGCTGACGAGGCTGAAAAAGACTGGCGCCTATTCGATATCTGGGATCGGCGCTTCGACAAATTGCCCGTGATTTCTGCAAAGCTGAGTTTGCGCGTGACGGGTGCTGACGAGGCTGAAAAAAACTGGCGCCTCTTAGATATCTGGGATCGGCGCTTCGACAAATTGCCCGTGATTTCCGCAAAGCTGAGTTTGCGTGTGACGGGTGCTAACGCGTCTGGGAAAGCAAGATGCTTCTCCGATTTCTGAGCTTGCCTCTTCGATTTTTGAATCGGCATTTTCGAACTCTGAGCTCACCTCTTCGATCTCTGAAATCCCGTTGAGTGCTGATTTTTTTTTTATATAGGCACGCAGGTTCTGTATGCAGGTTCTGTGTCTAATATGGCCCAACGCCTATTTGCTCGAACCCGTCAAGTTGAATCATTGGCGGCTGAGGTGATGAGTCTCAAACAAGAGATTAGAGGGCTCAAGCAGGAGAATAAACAGTTGCATAAGCTCGCTCATAGCTATGCGACAAACATGAAGAGGAAGATTGACCAGATGCAAGAATCTGATGGTCAGATTTTACTTGATCATCAGAGGTTTGTGGGTTTGTTCCAGCAGCATTTGCCTTCGTCTTCTGGGGCTGTGCCGCGTAATGAAGCCTCAAATGATCAACCTTCGGTGCCTCCTCCTCTTGGGGTTCTGCCTAGTACTGAGGCTCTGAATAACCATACTCTTGTGCCTCTCCGACCTGGGGCTCCGCCGAGTACTCAAGCGCCACCTGATCAATAAAGGCTTTTGTTTGTTTGCACTTTTTTTTTTTTTTTTTTTTTTATACATACATATATTATGTATATATATATGTATATTTTTTTTTCACGTGGACTGATCCACCATTCCAAAACCTTTCCCCTTTGCATGGTGCTAGCCACCAAGAATCCACCTTCTCTCCTTTTTTATTATTTTTATTATTTTTATTATTTTTATTTTATATATATATATATATATTATTTTATTTTTTTTATTTTTTTTTATTTTTTATTTTTGCTTTCACATGGTGCTGATCTACCATTCCCCTTTTCTTTTCTTTTTTTCACGTGGTGCCAGCACCACTTTGCTCCACCATCCCCTTTTTTTTATTATATTTTTTTTGTATAAATTTGGATGACGGGTTGAGGAATTTGCAGGGAAGGACGAAGGCGGACGGAGAAGATGGTGCTTCGAGCTTCACGACCGGCTAGTCGTTTGACGGCGGTCGTTTGAAGTTCTTTGCTATCATGGTGGTCATAGCGACGAGCTCGAGGGAGGCCAGGCGCTGCGGTGGAAGGAGTCGATGCCGAGAGCGCAGCCCAACTTGCTCCGGGTGTGCGCACCATGTGCAGCAGGTGGGGTCTGGTGGAGATTCAGACGACGCGGCGACAGAGTTGGCACCACCGTCCAGCATCTCGAAGGTGGAGCTCTATTGGTGAGGAGGGGTTGGGCTGGATGTTGCAGAGATAGCTGACTGATCCTTGGAGAGCCTGAGCTCCTTCCTGCACGCCTCGCCATCCTCTTCGTCGTTGATGCCACGAGATCCGTCTTTCTAGTAACCGGCTTTCTGGGTCTCCTTCGCCCACAGCGCGAAGGAAAAGGGTGAACAAAGCATCAGCAATACTGCACCTCCATCAACACCCGTCAATGTCATAGCATCGCAGCCGGTTTGACCGGTGGATTTCAGTATAAGCGTCTAATGCATCAGTATAGATCCCCGGAGCCATCCGCCACCATTTTCGAGAAACATCTGCGGTTTCTGAAACCAGAAATGCAGAGCTGGAAGAGAGTCTGTCGAAGCTGAAGAATCTGGAGAATATTGTTGAGGAACTGCAAACCAAGTTTCACTTCAACAATCTCCAATACGTCGTCGAAAAGGTCCGGAGCTCCAACCTCAAGTACCTGCTCGGGGATTACTGGGTGGAGAAGCACGACTCGAAAATCAAACAGTACGCCGCAAACTACGATCGCATGGGATGGACCAAGGTGTTCGATTCCCTACCGAAAGATCCGACCGCTGAGATTTCATCCGACCAAGCCAGGATCTACTTCAAGCTCTTTAACGCGGCGTTTGAGGAGGCATACAAGAAACAAACATCATGGGTCGTGATGGACCCGCAACTCCGAGATGAGATTAAAGTTTCGGTGGCGAAGAAGTTGGTGCCGACTTACCGGGAGTTTTACGAGAACCATAGGAACGGGATAATGAGAGCGTGCGGGGATGACTCATTGGTCAGATATGCCCCGGAGAATCTGGATAATTTACTTGCCGGATCTGTTGTATGGGGTGGCGAGTGGCGAGACGATGAAGGCGGCGGTCTCTGGGAACTGCTCCATGATTAGAAGCTTGGCGCCACGGTACTCAAAGAGGAAGAGGGGGAGAGTGTACCAGATGATGTACTGCAGTACCACCACCTGCACCATGAGGCTTGCCGGATTCCGGGATTTTATGGCCGTACATGGCGATTAACAGCGAAATCCCCATGACGAGAGTGTTGGGGACAGTAGAGAGGGAGAAAATTGTAATCATCCATTCGAGGCTGTCGTTGCGGGGATAAGTTGGTCCAGAGGCCGAGGGCAAAGAGCATGATGATTTTTTGGAGGGTGTCGGCGGCGATGAACCGGAAGTTCATGGTGTAGGGGTCGTTGGTGGAGATGAAGTGGAAGGAGAGCTGGGAGGAGTGTTAAGAAGCGCAAATGCTAGAGCAAGCTTCTCACTATGGTACTGCAACTTGACTTCCCTCTCCTGCTGGTCTACATAGAAAAGTACGTGGCTAGTGTCTGGGACGTATCCAATCTCATTTATCTTCATGCTAATCATCTCCGCCCTTCATCTTCTCCTCAAGAATATCGTCAACCACCCGGTACAAAACCCCAACAGCTCTCCCATACCTCCTCAGCCTATCCAACTCATCATCTTCAGCACCCCTCAGCAGTTCTCCGCAAACAGCAGAGCGCTGACTCATCTCCCCAAACTTCTTCTCCTGAGCGAATTCCACCGCCTCTGGCCCGCCTTCAAGGTCCAGGAACTGCCCGGCCGCCATTCCCGTGGGACCCACGGTCTGAGCAATCTCTGTGATCACACGCAGGAGGCGCGGCTCCGACACAAGGTTGGAAGGCGTGTTTGATACAATGTGCTGAAACCCCAATGGAAACAGAGCATCCCCGGCGAGAATAGCCATGTCATCGCCGTAAATTATGTGGTTCGAGGGCTGGCCTCGCCGTGATGGGTCGTCATCCATGCACGAAATATCGTCGTGTATGAGTGAAGCCGCATGTACCATTTCAAGAGCGCAGGCGATAGGGAAGGCGGCAAGGTGGTTGCCGTCGAAGAGTTCACAGGCTGCGACGCACATGACCGGTGAGGCTCGCTTGGCGCCATCAGCGAGGACGGAGTACCGCATGGATTGATAGATCTGCTCTGGGTACCGAATCGGAATGGCTTCGTGAAGCTTCTGATTCATGTCGGCGATCAGGGTAGTCCAGTAGGTTTTCAAATCGAACTTGAGGGAGCTCGATTGGGTTGAAATAGACGGCGACGATGAAGCGGAGGAGCACCGGATTGGAAAAGCTAGCTTCTTTGGAATGTAGAGTTGGGATGATGCCGATATCATCGAGAAAAAAGCCATTTTTTTTTTCTGGGTTCTTCTGAATCTCTGAATTGGGAGCTCTAATAGGAGATCTGCTCTAATAGTGGGGAGGAAGACGATGAAGACGGAGACAGCGATGGTGATCTTGATGTCGGTGTCTATGACGTCGTTTTGGGATTTGCAGCTGGGTGTGCAATGGTGTCAATGATGGCAGAGAAGCATGATGAATAAGGAGGTGAAGATGGGCCTTCTCTCTGAATTCTTGAGGCCTTGAGCTGTGTTGCATTCCATTTGATTTGGTGGATATCTTGTCACGGGCCTTGAGGTCTAGAGGGTCCAAGAGGCCATCCCAGTTTATTTGGGCCGAGAAGGAAAATATGTACTCATATGTATATATATATATATATATATATATATATGTATATTTTTTTTTCTTTTCTCTTTTTTTTTTCGAAGAAACTGTAATTTAATTTTGTACAAAGAAAAATTGCAAATTATTATTATTATTTTAACAAAACAAATTTGTAATAAAATTGACCTTCATCAATGAACTTTAATCAAACCTTTTTTTTTTTTTTTTTTTTTTTTTTTTTTTTTTTTTTTTTTGTACATGTGACTGAACTCGAAATTGAATGCTCGAGCTGCCTACGTACCCTTCCAAAGAAAGAGATCAAGTCAACACGTAGTTCAAACACATAGATATTTTTTTGTATTTTCTTTTTGTGCCGTTTGCAATTTTAACTCATGCAGGCAAGGAGTGTTGGTTTCGTTTGCAGTTTCAACTCGTGCAGACAAGGAGCGTTTGGTGTTACCTTTTATGCTCGTGCAGATCAGGAGCGTTGGTGTCGCCTTTTATGCTCATGTGAATCAGGAGCGTTGGGCCATGCAGTTTAGACTCGTGCAGGCGAGGAGAATGTTGTATTGCCTTTTATGCTCGTGCAGACAAGGAGCGTTGGTGTTGCCTTTTATGCTCGTGCAGACCAGGAGCTTAGTGCCATGCAGTTTAGGCTCGTGCGGGCGAGGAGCCTTGTGTCTTGCAGTTTAGGCTCTTGCAGACAAGGAGCTTTGGTTCGTGCAGTTTAGGCTCGTGCGAACAAGGAGCTTGGTTCGCGCAGTTTAGGCTCGTGCGAACAAGGAGCATTTGTTCGTTAAGCGATCTGAGAGAGTCGTTCCTCGCAATCTTCATAGCAAGGAGCCTTGACTGAGTAGTTGAAGAAGTCTTCAGGAAAGAAATCACGCATCGTGATGGGGATGGACGATCTATGTGTCGAAATTTCATCATCTTCAACACGTTCACGTTGCTTTGAAGGTTGACAAGAGCTGCTTTGCCCCCTTTCCGATTGGCGGACATGTGGAGAAGACGTATGCTTCTTGTGCAATTTCTTAGGAGTGACTTGAGTCCATCCTTCAACTTTGCTTGTCTTGGAGGATGCCCCCAGCGGTTGAGGTGAAAACTTTGAGTCGGAAGAGCCAGAAGTGAAGGTGGTATAGTTTGACTCCACCACATCGTCAAGATCTAGCTCGATGATTCCTTTCTGAGCCAGCTTCATGATGAGATCTTTCAGCACGAAACACTTTTCTGTCGGATGACTGATGAAGCGGTGGAATTTACAGTATCTTGGACTGTCAGTACGATTCATCTCTTCCGGCCGTCTGCACTCAGGCAAACTGATCACCTTCTTGTCCAACAGGTCATCTAGCATGGCAACCACATCATAGTCGGGGAATGGATAAGTCTTCTCCTCAAGTTCCTTCAAAGTGCGTCTACGCGTCTCTTGATCACGAAAAGCTTCGGTTTGAATCGCCTTGCCTCGTGTAGGGATTTTGACGGGAGCTGTGTTGACCGTCATTGCTTCCTTGGTGGATTTCCACGCAGTCTTCTCCAACTTTGGCCCAAGAACTTTGTCGTTCTTGTAGTTGGCGATTGGTTCTTTCTTCCCATGATGGGCGATGCTTAACTCCATGTCATGGGCGCGGGTGGCTATCTCTTCGAATGTCCGTGGTTTGATGCCTTGAAGGATGTATTGCAAACCCCATTGCATGCCTTGGATGCACATCTTAATTGAGGAGGTTTCCGAGAGTCTGTCTTTACAGTCGAGGCTTAGAGTGCGCCATCTGTTGATGTAGTCAATGACTGGCTCGTCCTTCCACTGCTTTATACTCGTTAGCTCTAGCATGCTTACAGTGCGGCAGGTGCTATAGAAGCGGTTGAGGAATTCCCGCTCTAATTGCTCCCAGCTGTTGATGGACTCGGGCTCTAGGTCAGTGTACCACTCAAAGGCATTTCCTTTTAGCGGGCGCACAAACTGCTTGGCGAGGTAGTCTCACTCCGTCCCCGCGTTGTTGCAAGTTTCGACGAAATGTGCAACGTGCTGCTTTGGGTTTCCTTTTCCATCAAATTGCATGAACTTTGGTGGTTGATAACCCCTTGGCATCCTTAGGGCATCAATCTTCTTGGAATAGGGCTTCGAGTAGAACAAGGAGGTATGTGAGCTCCCTTCGTACTGTGCCTTGATGGTGTTGGTGATCATCTCCTGCAGCTGCTGGATAGAAAGAGATCCTATGAGTGCCGCTGCTTGGTCTGGCTCCGGCTTCACATCGTTTTTCTCCACCTGAGGCTCCTCTTCTTCGTTGTCTCTTCTCTTTAGTGGATCATTCTCTAGGTTGGGGTTCTCGCCGTCCTGTGGCTCCAGTCGGCTGACGAGTGCAGCAATTTGCAAGTCTTTTTCTTCCACAATCTGTGTTAGCCTTGCAATCGCTTCATTCATTTGAGCCAGTTGTTCTTCAACGGAGGTAACGCCGATAGTCATGACTTGTGCGACCAATAGACGTGACTTTCCTTTAGACATCCAGGATGCTGACGAAGAACGTCGTTGGCTGCTTTGGGACGTCATCTTGTGTGCCTCAGCATCATGCTTCGGTGCCCCCAGCGAGGTCAGGTTGATGACAGACTCACACCTTAGATGCTCCCCTTGCTCTTTTAGCGGCACCAATTTTGAAGTGGCATGTTGAAGAGCGGTTGTGGCGCCAATGGATTGTCCGTTTGCGGCAGAAGTGCTTAGGATCCTTCCCTCAGTGGTTGCAAGAACAGTTTGTCCCTCGCTTGATGCCATTGACTTTGAGGTGTGCTTGGATTCCTTAAACGGAGAAAGAGATGAGAGGCAGAGATGGTCCCACTGGGCGTGCCAATTTGTGAACACGGAAAATTCCTGAAACGAAAGAGACAAGAACAACGTGCACAAACAAATATTATGTGTTTGATGATTTTGGGTTACAATCTCTCTCTATTTTGATCCTCTGATTCGATCTCCGTAAGGTGTGTATTTTGTGGATGTGTGATTGATCCAAAGGGCCGTTGGGCTTGATCTAAGGATGAACGTTCTTCAAGGGCCGTGGACTTGATCTTGAAGGTGGATTTGAGCGGATCTTCAAAGGGGCTTTTGGGCTTGATCTTTGAAGAACAGTGATGAACGGATCTCCAAGGGCTTTTGGGCTTGATCTTGAAGAACAGTGATGAACGAATCTTCAATGGCTTTTGGGCTTGATCTTGAAGAACGGTTGGATGTGTGGATTTGTTGACGTTGTTGATCCAAAGGGCCGTTGGGGCTTGATCTTGGATGAACGGATGATGAACGATGGTGCTTTCTTCAAGGGCCGTCGGGGCTTGATCTTGGAAGAACGATGAACGAAGAACGAAGAAGGCTTTCTTGATTCTTCGGGAACCATGCTTGAGAGCTTCGGAGTTTCAGAGCTTCAGAGCTTCAAGGTGTAATATGAATTGGTTTCCCCCAAATGAATGAATTAGCCTTCTATTTATAGAATTCTCCAATGCCTAATTTTGAATATAATATTCCAGATGAAATAAGTCGTTTTTGCCAGGTGTTGACACGTGTCCTGTTTGATGACTTCTCCAACTTATTTCGATTTTTGTTTAGACACACGCTACGTGTAAAATTTATGTAATACATGAGCGTTGAAACTTTGATTTATCGGTCAACATTTATTTACCGAAATTTCGATGTCTACAGTGATCTCTCATACTTTTTGTTCCAGATGCCTACCTGTTCGCTCTCTAAATTTGCCATGGGCCTCGCGGGCATGCCGGGAATTTATTCAAACACGAGATTGGTGGGGTGCGGGCGTGCCACTACTAGATGCCGCTAATAGACGGATTTTGAATGATTGAGGTTGCACCTGAGTTCGACTTCTGACCAAGAGATTGTGCCATTGAGTGTGAGTGACTCAAATCAAGGTTCTTTGTTTGCCTTAAAAATAAGGACTTTACTTATATGGAGAGGTAGAACAATATGTAAATGACAAAGGAAGGTGAATGACTAATATTGTAGATTGCTTGTAAATTAAATGACTGAAGATGAGTTGTACATGAAAACTACAAAGGAGATCGATACTGCAAGTGAGCAGTAGAGCTAATAAACTAGATAAAAGAAGGCTTTTGATGAAGGTTGATCCTAAAAAGGATGAAGGCTTGGTGCTGACTACAGCTTTGTATGCAAATCTGGCTTGAGTAGAGTTTGTGTATTTGTTTGTTTGATTGAGTGTCCTTATTTCTGATTTCTCTTTTCCTTTTTATAGATGATTTGGCTTGGCTGTTATAGCATCGATCTTGCCAGAATGCGGCTGAAAGGTAGTGACTTATCAGTTTTTACTTGTACTGCCATTGTAAAGTACTTTTGGGCTGATTAGCTGGCTAGTCTACAACACTTGACTTCTAGGTAGGTGAGCAAGTGGCTCAAGTGATCTGCACGGGAAAATGGCTTCTTCCTCCTTCTGGGCTTCGGCTAAGCCTTGGGCTTCCTTCATTCTAGACCTTCTTCTGGGCTAACTTCCTTTTGAGCCCAAAGTTCCAATTTTAACCCAAACAGTGCCCCCTTTAATTAATATTCAGGCTGGTATTCCAGGCACCAATATTGAATGAATAGCCGCATGCGCATGTACACCTGTTCTCGGAACTTGTGTCTTCTGGACGGGATTAATGCAATCTCGCGTTTCTTGCTCTTCCCACGACCTTTGAGCTATCCTCTGATGTTCCTATAAATTCTGTCTGAAATCTTCATTTTTGAACAAATAACTTAAGCCAAAAGCTTCTTATGCCGAGCCAACTGATCATCTTCAACCTTCCCCTTTATCTCCCTCGGGCGTTTTTGCCTTCTAAGTTTTCTTGTAAAACTAGGGAAATGGGTTCCTTAGGACTCACGTGGAGTTTCCTATAACGTGAGAAAAAGGATTTTAGTCAAATAACTACTATTTCCAACACCTTTGGTCAGACAATTTCCTCATTCTGAGCTTGTTTGAACTTTTACAAGTTTGGTCGAGGGATCACCATCCTAGTAGTTGCCCTGATAAGTTAGACTTCACCATCATACCTGGTGAAGGTTTGCATTGAGGGTCCTCTACCAGGCTTATCTTGGCCGCACAACCCGATCACCTGATTGGGTTTTGTCCACGGAGACACTAGAAAACTGGTCGAGACACCACTGCAACTAGAAGGAATAGCACATTGGAGCTGAATCTGATGTAAATTTCACCAATATCTCGAAATGAATAAAACATAATTTTAACAACTTTTATCTTTTCTGTTTTCTTGAATGGTTGATGAACAAACACTGCACTCCGGCACCCCGAAGCCTGCTTTATCTTACATCTTCTTCAATATAACAATCTCTAACATCCCATAATGTAGGATAGTACTTTTTTAAGAATTTGACATTGATGGGATGTTTCTGCCAATTTCCTTCGATGTTCGCCAATTAGTATCCTCCCCTGTCTAATACTTGACTAACAATGAAATAACCTTCCCATGTTGGGCTCCATTTCCCAAAGCCCATAAGCTGAGCTCCTAGAGGGAGGACTGCCTTCCATACTAAATCTCCTTCCTTGAAAGACTTCAACTTTACATTTTTGTTATAAGCTCGGGCAACAACTCTTTTCCCTTCCTGAATCTGGTTCAAGGTCTCAATTCGGGCTACATCTAAGTCTTCAATCCCTTGACACATGGCTTGTATGTATTCTTCACTGTGTAACCCAAATTGATATTGAATTCTGACAGAACTTACATTGATTTCCATGGGAAGAACCGCATCTTGCCCGAAAGTCAAAGCATAAGGAATTGTCCCCGTTCCTGCCCTCTTAGAGGTTTGGTATGCCCACAAAGTATTCCCTAGCTTTTTATGCCACATTTCCGGACTATCTGTCACCATTCTTTTGATAATGTTTATCAAAATCTTGTTGCTGGCCTCTGCCTGGCCATTTGACTGAGGGTAATAAGGACTGGACTGGACCATCTTTATTTTGTATTTGTTTACAAATTCTTCAACTTCTTTTGAAATAAAAGATGGCCCACGATCCGTGACTATAGTTTTGGGCACCCCAAACCTTTGTAGAATCTTGGTTTCAATAAATTTCTTAACTGTAGCTGAGGTTATGGTCTTTACAGTTGATGCTTTTACCCATTTAGTGAAGTAATCCGTCGCCACAATTATGAAAGTATGCCCCTTACTAGAAGCTGGATAAATATGCCCGATAAAGTCCATTGCCCACCCTCTAAAGGGCCAAGGCTTGACCACTGGATTTAAAGGTACTGAAGGCACATGTTGGAGGGGTTCATGTCTTTGACATTCTTCACAGCCTCGGGCATAGGACTTGCAATCTTTTTCTACATCGGGCCAGAAATACCCATACCTCCTAAGTAACCACCTCATCTTCATCCCAGCTTGATGTGCCCCACATATTCCTTCATGTACTTCGGCCATTACTCTCATTGATTCCTCTTGGCCTAGGCATTTCAATAGTAGCCCATCTGGAGTTTTCCTTAGCAAGTTCTTCGCCCATAAGACATACTTAGTTGGTTGCTGTCTATTCTTCTTGCTTGTGGGTGAAGAAGGATCTTTTAAATGATGAATGATAGGCGATCTCCAGTCTTTCATCTCGGTTTCTAGAACCATTACATCTAGACTGAATCCCCTTTCTAGGATAGAAGGAAGATTTCTTCTTTGAATCTCAACATCTACTCCATATTTCCTTTCCTGGATTGGTACTCCTAAGGCTACTTGTGCCATCTCGTTGGCCACCAGATTGGATCCCCTAGGGACATGATTAACTGATATATTCGAATCCCAGTAGCTCAACAATTGCGTGGCCGCCAAATAATACCCAGCCATGGTGATATGTCTGCACTTGTATTCTCCATTTAGCTAGTTTATTACTAACTCTGAATCACTAAACACCTCTACCTCCATTGCCCCCAGATCTATCAAGATTTCCAAGCCAATTATTAAGGCTTCATATTCTGCCCGATTGTTGGTGCTTTTTTGTTAATTTAGGAGGAACGAGTAATAATGGTGAACCCCTTGGGGATTTATGATGACAATCCCAACTCCATAAGCCATCTGAGTGCAAGAACCATCAAAATACAGCCTCCAAGGAGTAATCTATAGACCAGTTACTCTTTTTATTTCTTGTTAGACCCACTTTTCTTTGCTCGAGATACCCTTGCCTGGTGGGATTCAAACACTAGTCACCTCCAGGGTCCCCTGGATATTGATAATCTCATCTTGAGACTCTTGATGCTCTGTCAAGAAGTCGGCAATTGCTTGGCCCTTGACCGCCCTTTGGGGTACATATTGAAAGATGAACTCTAATAATGCTAGAATCCACTTCCCAATCCTTCCTGTTAGCATTAGTTTTGACAACATATACTTTATCACATCTGTTTTGGCAATGATGTGCACGTGACAATGTAACATGTAATGCCTTAACTTACTAGCAGTGAAATACAGAGTTAGGCACAATCTTTCTACTGGGGAGTATCTTGTTTCTACCTCAGTCAGAATTCTACTGAGGTAGTACACCGCCTGTTCTTTCCCGCCTTCATTGTTTTGGGCTAGTAAACTCCCGATTGATTTCTTTGAAGCAGAGATATATAGTTTTAAGGGTTTTCCCCTTTGAGGTGGTACCAACACTGGTGGAAAAGTCAAATAGGCTTTGATACTGTCAAAAGCCTTTTGGTGTGGTGGTCCCCACTCAAAATTTTCTTTATCCTCCAGTCTTAGCAGAGGAGTCAGCGGCTGGATCTTGCCCACTAAATTGGCAATGAATCTCCTTAAGAAATTAATTTTGCCTAGCAACCTCTGAAGTTGCACCTTGTTGGTGGGCGAAGGTGACTCCATTATTGCTCGAGACTTGCTCTTGTCCACTTCTACACCTCTTTGATGAACCAGGAATCCCAAGAAGTTGCCCGCTCTCACTCCAAACACGCACTTCTTTGGATTCATTTTTAGTTTATGGAACCTCATCCTTGTCAAAGCTTGTCTGAGGTCTGTCAGATGCTGTTCTTCTGTTGGATTTCACCATGATGTCATCGATGTACACCTCCATGTTCTGGCCAATCAAATCATGAAAGATGGCATTCATTGCCCTTTGATAGGTTGCACCAGCATTTTTTAGCCCGAATGGCATGACTAGGTATTCATATGCCCCTACATGCCCGAGACACCTAAAAGCTGTTTTGTGTATATCTTCCTGGGCCATATTTATCTGATTATATCTGACATTTCCATCCATAAAAGATAAGACTTTGTGTTTTGCCACTGCATCTATGGATAGATCAGCCATGGGCATGGGATATTCATCTTTTGGTGTAGCGTCATTAATATTTCTGTAATCAACACAACATCGTACTACTTTTGTTATGGCTTTTAAAACGGGTACAATGTTGGCCAACCACTCCACATATTTGGCAGGTCTAATAAATCCAGCTTTTACCAGTCTTTCAATTTCTTTTCTGACCTTTTCTTCTATTTCTTTTGACATCCTTCATGGCGCTTGCTTAACAGGTTTATATCCCTCATTGATGGCCATTTTGTGTTCCACCAAGGTTGAATCTAAACCTGGCATCTCAGTATAATGCCAAGCAAAACAATCTCTAAATTCTTGCAGAAGACAAACAATCTTTGCCTGATCGTTAGTTTTTAACAAGCCACTGATTTGTATAGGTCTTGGATCTCCTTTTGTCCCCAAATCAATGACTTCTAAAGGATCCTGAACTTCTGGTGGTGGCTTGTCAGGCTCTGGGCACAAAAATTCAACCAACTTCGGGCTTTCGGACAAGTCGTCTGGCCTATCCAAGTCATATATGCACTCGCCCATTTGTATGGCCGCATCCAATTCTTCTCCGCAAAGCTCTTCTCCACTTTTATCCTGGCTGGTCGGAATTCCTAGCTGCCATTCCTGCTCTTCTTTTTCTAAGAGCTCCCTTTCTTGCTTTCTTCCTCTCCCATACACCAACAGTCTTTTGATCAGGGACCTGACTGCCATTACCTAATCCTTTCTCTTTTGTTCCGTCATTGTTGGCGTTGGGATGTTGGGATGATGCAGGGTCTATCCCATTCCTCTCTAGTGAGGAGCATTCCTTGTTCTAAGAATTTTTGGGTCGTCACCTTGGTAGGGCGGCCGTTCTTATCTGCTCCTGAACACTGCAGAATTTCTACATTGGGATTGTAGAAACTTGCCTCCACAACATTGGCGATAGGGAGAAATGGCCGTGATTCAGCCTCTACCATCTCCCAAAAGCCTGGTCCCTCCGTCTCTACCTCATGGTACAACAACTTGCTGATGTAGAGTGGAGGGTATGACAAGACTTTGATGGATCCAGTCCCTTCTGAGTAATGCTCCATAGGTGGAAGTGCAATCCACCACAAAGAATGCCAACATGATTTGTTTGGACCCCAAGTCCACTTCTAAGGGCAATATCCCATGAGTTTTTGTGATAGCACCCGAGAAGCTCAAAACCGTGAGGTCCGTGGGAATGAGATCTTCTACACCTCTTCCCATCTTCTTCATTTGCTTGGCTGGTAGTACATTAACAGCCGCTTCACCATCAATCAAAACCCTTTTGAAGGGCACCCCCTCCAAATGAGCTACGACATATATTGGCTTAAGATGGTTGGCTAACAATATGTTTGGGCGGTTGAACACCATTTTATCTGTATAGGTCCTTAATGGACTATCTTTGGATGTCTCAGATGATTCAGCTTTTCCCAACTCTCCCTCTTTAGCTACTTCAACACTGACATGGGCCATCATTGGCTCTGCTGTCAAATAGTCACCTTCCATAGTGGTGGGCTGATTAGGCTCGGCACCAAACATGGCGGATAACACATACGTCATGTTGATATGAAAATTGTTAGGCTCTGGAAAGTCTTCTTTCTTACTCCCGATCTAGCCCATAAACTCTTCTAACTAGGCCATCAAATCTTCTGGGAGTAGTGGTTCTGGTGCCCCCTCCTGTTGATTTATGCCCGAATCTAGTATCTGCTTTGGCACTTCGCCGAAAGAATCCACCAATAATATAGAAGGGAGTCTCCTTTCGGGCGAAACAGTTCCAAAACAAATAGGTTATGTCCTCCATCCGGGAGTTGGCATCATTATCATATCTTCTTGAGCTCTCATCAAGATCCTGTACTTCCCATGGTGTAGGCTTTGTGGTACATGGTTTCCTTCGCCTTCTGTTTTGCTATTAGCCCTCTCCACCTCTTTTTTACTTCTCTAGTGGAACTGACTACTTCCCTCAGATGATGTTTTTTCAAACTTTTGATTCTTGGAGGCTTTAGATGTCGCGGGAGTCTTTAAAGAGTTCATGTAGGCTTTGTGCTTCCTCTGGACCCTTCTAATCATGGAGGTTCCCATTTGTTTGGCGGGTTGCCCATTTTTTCCGACCACGTACCATTTTCGCCCAAGACGGGCAGGATTATCCTTTTTGACAGGATTTGTTATCCTATCATTCCTTTTGACTTCTCTTCCTGTATGGCCATATTGAGGATGCCCTATCTCCCTCTCTTTTGGACCTTTGGCCTCCTTGTCTTCTGCCTCCTCAGAAGCTTCATGATTTCGAAACACTTCTGATAAAGCTCTAGGTTGGGAATCCCCTCCCAACCGTTGAAAAATACTTCGGGAAGTATCTTTTCTTGTTGTCCGCCTAGTTTTCTCGCGGGCTTCTTTTCTTTCTTCTTCTTCTTTCATCCTAATCAGCTCATGATCAATGAGGACTCCTACTGGCGGTATTTCGAGCTCACACTCGCATTGGCATTTATTGCACATAACCATCCCTTTGATTATGGCTGCTTTTGGATGTTCGGGTAATTTGATCACCCCTTTTGTGGATTTGTCAGCCGACCTTTCTTCTTCTGTCTCCCTTGCAACCTTTCTTTTCCCCTTCTCGGCCCATGCTAAATTAATCATATTTACTGGGGCCTTTAAATAGGGATCTGCATGCTTGTCCACTATTGCTTCGACTTGCCCTTGATCTTTTTGTAAGAATATTAATGGGTTAGGTGGATTTTTTTACCAAGGTCATTTCTTCATCTGGCTGGCTGGCCTCAAGCTTTTTTCTTTCTTCTTCCCCAACATCTTTTTCCCCAAGTAGAGGTAAAGATATGGGAATAGTTGGTCCCATAACCAGGTTTGCTTTCCTTCTGAAGCCTGCGGAGGCGTTTTCCAATCTTTGCAACATTTGCAACAAGGTAGTTTGCAAGTCTTCATGAATTATTTTTTCTGGAACAGCTGGCCTTTTTAAATCTTCAGGTATTTTTGACATATTTCTTTGACAAGTAAGATTTGATCAAGGAATCCCACCGGGCGTGCCAAAATATGTTCGCTCCCTATATTCGCCATGGGCCTCGCGGGCATGTCGGGAATTTATTCAAACACGAGATTGGTGGGGTGCGGGTGTGCCACTACTAGATGTCGCTAGTAGACGGATTTTGAATGATTGAGGTTGCACCTGAGTTCGACTTTTGACCAAGAGATTGTGCCATTGAGTGGGAGTGACTCAAATCAAGGTTCTTTTTTGCCTTAAAAATAAGGACTTTACATATATGGAGAGGTAGAACAACATGTAAATGACAAAGGAAGGTGAATGACTAATATTGTAGATTGCTTGTAAATTAAATGACTGAAGATGAGTTGTACATGAAAACTACAAAGGAGATCGATACTGCAAGTGAGTAGCAGAGCTAATAAACTAGATAAAAGAAGGCTTTTGGTGAAGGTTGATCCTGAAAATGATGAAGGCTTGGCGCTGACTACAGTTTCGTATGCAAATCTGGCTTGAGCATAGTTTATGTATTTGTTTGTTTGATTAAGTGTCCTTATTTCTGATTTC